ATGCTCAACATCACTAATGCAAGTCAAAACCACAATGTGATCGCACCTCACACCTGTCAACATGGTAAAAAAGACAACAAATATCAAGTGTTGGCAAGGATGTGGAAAAAAGAGAACCCTCATGAACTGCTGATGGGAGTGTAAATTGATGCAGCTGCTATGGAACACAGTATGGCGGTTCTTCAAAAAATTAAAATTAGAACTACCAGTAAATGCTCTTCTGAGTGTTTATCCAAATAAAATGAAAACACTAATTTGAAAAGATACATGCACCCTTGTGTTCATTGCAGCACTATTTACAATAGCCAAGATATGGAAACAACGTGTGTCCATCAATGGATAAATGGATAAAGAAGAGGTGGTATATGTATACAGTGGAATACTACTCAGCCATTAAAAAAAGAAATCTTACCATTTTCAACAACATACATGGACTTCAAGAGTATAAAGACGCAGACCTACTAGAGAATGGACTTGAGGACACGGGAAGGGGGAAGGGTAAGCTGGGACAAATTGAGAGAGTGGTATTGACATATATACACTACCAAATGTAAAATAGATAGCTAGTGGGAAGAAGTCACATAGCACAGGGAGATCAGCTCAGTGCTTTGTGACCACCTAGAAGGGTAGGATAGGGAGAGTGGGAGGGAGGGAGACGCAAGAGGGAAGAGATATGGGGATATATGTATATGTCACTTTGTTATAGAGCAGAAAATAACACACCATTGTAAAGCAATTATACTCCAATAAAAACGTTTAAAAAAAAGTATTATGCTAAAGGAAATCAGTCTGACAGAGAAGCCAAATACCATATGATCGCACTTCTATATGGAATCTAAAAACAAAACAAAACAAAAAAACAAAACAAAACTCATTATACAGAGAACAGATTGGGGTTGCCAGAGGGGTAAAGTGTTGGAGGGTAAGTGAAATGGGTTACGGGGATCAAGAGGTACAAACTTGCAGTTATAAGATAAATAAGCTATGGGGATATAGTATACAGCCTGGATACAGTAGTCAATAATATTGTATTGCAAATTTGAAAGTTGCTAAGGAAGTAAATCTTAAGAGTTCTCATCACCCCTCCCCACACACAAAAGAACCATGCTTTAAGAAAAGGGGGGTGGAGGCAAAGCCTATTTCTCAACAAGGAAATTTAACTTCTTATTTTGAATTTGTGTTTGCCATTACACTTCTTTGCATCTTCGTTTCTCTTCCTTTGCTTTCCCTTTATCTGTACTGCCTCATTCTTCTTTTGGAACTGTGGAAGGCAGAAGAGTAATTTCTATATGCCTAACATAATGTTCATTTTCTGCGTTATACATTTCAAATATTCCAGTGGATTACCAAGGCTGTATCCAAGGCAGTCACGCCACATGGCTTCATGTGTCAACATTCACATAGACTGTAGTGTAAGCATTGCTCCTGGAGATGTGCAGAGCAGAGGCCCTGGCTTCATCCACACTACCTCATCTAGCCCTTCATGTGAATGGCCTTTAGTGATTATATAACCTTTTTGGAGATATTATCTCACATAAACCTTATAATCACATAGAGAGCAAAAACCATTTTATGCTTGATAAGGCTCAGAGCAGGAAAATTACTTAGCAAGATTATGTAATTAGTTTTTTTTTTAACATCTTTATTGGGGTATAATTGCTTTACAATGGTGTGTTAGTTTCTGCTTTATAACAAAGTGAATCAGTTATTTAGTTAATATCAGAATCAGAGCTAGAACTTAGGTCTCCTGACTCCAAACCAGTGCTCTTTTCATCAGTGCACACTGCCCAGAGTGTGCAGGAGCTCAGACTGTAGCTGTGGATCAGAGCAAGCCTCACTACCTTTACTTGAATCTGACCTTCATTTACTCATGCCCTAACCCTTTGAGCTAAGCACCAATAACCTCACTACCTTTATCAACACTGAATTTTGCTTGCCTTCTTATAAACTCACCGGCAAGATGAGTGTTACGCAGGTTAAGCAGGAACACTCCCAGGCCACTTGGAGCTCATAGTTTAGTGAAAGACATGATAGGAAAATCCACAATTACTTTGATTTAATTTCATCAAATGCCATAGGGACATCGAAAAATGAACTTCCCAGAGGATGACATGTCCAGGTGAATCTGGACAGACGAGTAAAAGTTGAACAGGAGAAAGTTATGGGGGGAGGTAGAAGAAGAAACAAGACATTGATATCCTAGGCAGAGAGAAAACATGTTCAAAGGCAAAGAGGAATGGAATGTCATAATACTGTATCTTCAGAAGCTACACCTTCTGCCTAGTGGTCGAAAGGGAATATGTGGGAGAGGATCAAAATTAAGAATAGGAAAGATAAATAGAAATCAGATTATGAAACAAAGTCTTCTGTGTTATTTTCAGAGTTTTGATTTAGTCTAGGAAGATAGGAAACTACCTAAAAATTTATGAAGGAAGTGACATGATTAGATTTATCTCTTAGAAAGATCATTCTAGCAGAGGTATGGGAGATGGATTAAATAGGGAGCTAGTGGAGTAAGGAAAATCATCTCAGAGTCTACCACAAAAGATTGAGGAGAAATGCAATGACCAGAAATAAGACAAGAGTGCTGGGAATAGAGAGGAAGAAGAGTGAGATTTTGAGATATTTAATATGTACAATGGCTAAGCCTAAGACCAAGCATATTTGTGTTTGTGGGAGAGGGAAGGGATGAGAAAAATAAAGGAACACAGAGAAATTGGCAGGTTTCACCTTAGGTAACTAAGTGAATATTAATGCACTTTTATTAAGAACAAAATACAGTAGAAGCAACAAGTTGGAAGGCAAATATTTTAAAGTATAAGTTTAAAAAGGCAAAATACTGCTTCAAGAAGGAAAGTGTAGTGTTCAGTAACATATGTCATAAACTATCCACTAGGAAAGACAATGCAACTATACCTTTGGATTTTCCACTAGAAAATGATCAGGAAACTTGGTAACAGTATTTTTATTGTGTGACAGGGCTTTACAATATTACTGTGAAAAATGAATAGGAAATTATGCAAACAAAGTAGGTAAAGGGGTCAAGAGACTCTAAGGAGTGTTTTGTTTTGTTTTCTAGGATGTGGAAGTTTTAAGCATGTATATTTGCTGAAGGAAAAGAATCAATAGGGTGGAGAAGGCCATGGTTCAGGAGGGAAGGGAAATGAGGATGTGAGGTCAACAGAGAGCTGGAATAAGTTGAGATCCAAAGCATTTTGGAGGGTTTAGCCAGGACCTTTGAGTTTAGAGGAAAGGAAAAAGGACAGGTGTGAATACAGTTACATTGGTTGTCTGGAGAGGAGGTCAAGAAATATATGCTTACTGGTTTCTCTCTTTTTCCTGTTGGGTCATCATTAAAAGCATGAGGCAAGAAATTTGAGGAGGATCATAAAGATTTGAGATCACCACTATGGAGAAAGGACAAGAATAATATTTATTAATAGAAATATGTATTAATAGTCGAATTGGTGAATAGCATTAGGGCTCAGCTCAAGGTGCAGAACATGGATTGGGAATAGTTTTGTCATTTTCTCCAGCAGTGCTCAGCAGTCTATACAAAAGAATAAGAATAAAAGCATAGGTATACTTTTATAAGTCTAAACATTAAGAAGTGAACTTTTTCAGGAATCTCATTTCATGGTGAGAAGAGCAGAAAGCCTAAGTCACATGACTCTTTGATCCCATTGCTGCTGCTGCTAATAATAACTTTAAATATTACTTATAGTAGTGAGAAACATTTCCCCAGGTAGGGTATAAAAGTTTCTACCAATCCAGTACACAAAGTTGTCTCAAAGATGCATGACGTGGGCTTCCCTGGTGGCGCAGTGGTTGAGAGCCCGCCTGCCGATACAGGGGACACGGGTTTGTGCCCCAGTCCAGGAAGATCCCACATGCCGTGGAGTGGCTGGGCCCGTGAGCCATGGCCACTGAGCCTGCGTGTCCAGAGCCTGTGCTCCGCAACGGGAGAGGCCACAGCAGTGAGAGGCCCTTGTACCGCAAAAAAAAAAAAAAAAAAGATGCATGATGTGACAAACAACCCAATCAAAAAATGAGCCGAAGACCTAAATAGACATTTCTCCAAAGAAGACATACAAGTGGCCAACAGGTGCATGAACAGATGCTCAATTTCACTAATTATCAGAGAAATGCAAATGAAAACTACAATGAGGTATCACCTCACACCAGTCGGAATGACCACCATTAAAAAACCCACAAACCATAAATGCTGGAGAGGATGTGGAGAAAAGGGAACCCTCCTACACTGTTGGTGGGAATGTAAATTGGTGCGGGCACTATGGAGAACAGTATGGAGGTTCTTTTCAAAACTAAAAATAATGTTACCATATGATCCAGCAATCCCACTGCTGGGCATATATACAGTGAAAACTCTAATTCAAAAAGATACATGCACAGCAATGTTCATAGCAGCACTATTTACGATAGCCAAGACATGAAAGCAGCCTAAATGTCCACAGACAGATGAATGGATAAAGAAGATATGGTATATATACACAATGAAATAGTACTCAGCCATAAAAAAGAATGAAATAATGCAATTTGCAGCAACATGGATGGACCTAGAGATTACCATACTAAGTGAAGTAAGTCAGACAGAGAAAGACAATATCATATGATATCACTTATATGTGGAAACTTAAAAAATGATACCAATGAACTTATGTACAAAATAGAAACAAACTCACAGACATAGAAAGCGAACTTATGGTTACCAAAGGGGATAGTGGGAGAGGGGAGAGATAAATTAGGAGTTTGGGAATAACAGATACACACTACTATATATAAAACAGATAAACAACAAGGTCTTATTGTATGGCACAGGGAATTGTATTCAATATCTTGTAATAACCTATAATGAAAAAGAATGTATGTATAACTGAATCACTTTGCTGTACACCTGAAACTAACACAACATTGTAAATCAACTATACTTCAATTTTTAAAAAAATGCATGATGTGTTTCTTTTAAATTCCCATTGCAGGCTTTTACCACCACCACAGCACGTGCTCTGACAGCAGCAGCTTCATAGAAGAGCCTAACTCCCACCTCCTCTTGCAGGAGGCTGTATGGCCTCCAATATCCAGCTCCTGCTCTCTGGCCCTACAGACTCCTAATCTCAGTAGGAGAAAAGCAGCCTGGTACACTGGACAGAAGACCAGAGTAAGAGACTTGGAATCTCCATCCTGATGCTATCATGAACAGCATGCACAGAGACAGACCTTAGGCAGTCACTTCATTTCTCTTTGGTTTTTCTACTCTGTGGGTATTAGAATACATGATCTACATGATAGGGACAGTGGTAACCTGGACAAATACTTAATTTTCTCTCAAGCTTTGACACTGCCTAGGACAGTTAGAAGATTTAAGGATGATCAAATTTGGGGAACAAGGGTTGCTACTGGAATACTCTCAAAGGGCTCAAGCTAAATGAGGAAGCACAAATCCCACTTTCAGGCCCTGAAACCTTGGTGCAGCCTACAGTAGGATTCCCTCTGAGCCTCTATTCATCCCTCTGTGCTCCCAATTAAATTCCAGGAAGTCTTCCACCATACCATTGTCCTGTTTTTCTTCTTGAGGCCTCATCCAAGGAGATACGCTTGGAGCCTCCCCACTAAAACCATTTTCTCCCTGTATCCTAAATTTTGGATCTTCATAGGAAAAGAGATGAGTGGGATTCAGAATCCCTCCTCTTGGCCATGGCAAAAAATTCACAGTATTTTCTGCTGGCAGAAAACAATACAAATAAAAATATGTTTTTAAACCTTGGAATTTTTTTTTTTTTTGGTACGCGGGCCTCTCACTGTTGTGGCCTCTCCTGCTGCAGAGCACAGGCTGCAGATGCGCAGGCCCAGTGGCCATGGCTCACGGGCCCAGCCGCTCCGCGGCACGAACCCTCATCCCCTGCATCGGCAGGCGAACTCTCAACCACTGCGCCAGCAGGGAAGCCCAACCTTGGCATATTTTAAAAAGAATAAGCAGTTGTGGTTTGTGTCAGAAGGAAAATGTTTTGTCAATAAACAGAGCTTGAACACTGACAGGACTCTACCAGGCCATATGTGGTATAGAGCATTTTAGATACATTCCTTCTCGAAGAAAATTTTAGTAGGGTGGGAGAGGTCACACACGTGCGCGCGCACGCTTACAGTAATGTATTACTTGGTTGCCTAATACACTGCAAGATAGTGTATGGTAGACAATTAGAATATTGCCTACCATACCAGTAAACAAAGGATGTCACAGTCATCAATGACTGCAGCCCTTCAACGTGAGTCGGTGAGCCCTGAGGAAACTCAGGATATGAAAACACAGGATACTGGCCCCAGATAGCTGAGGTGTATATCAAAGGAATGATTTCAGTGAGCCACATTCCTGCATCTTCTCATACATAGAAAAGCGTGAAATTCCTTAACTTGACATATCTGGTTTTCTTTAATTAATAGTAATCTTTTGATGTTCCCGACTACCTGCGCTTTGTTACAAAACTCCTGTGTATCCTAGCTCCCCTCCCTGGCCTCCTCAGAGCCGTACTCTCAGGATTACTTGAGATTCTGCCTCCCAGGCTTGAAGTCCTAAAAATTCTCGCCAAATAAAACAAAGCTCTCAGGGCTTCCCTGGTGGCGCAGTGGTGAAGGATCCGCCTGCCAATGCAGGAGACATGGGTTTGAGCCCTGGTCCCGGAAGATTCCCACATGCCGCGGAGCAACTAAGCCTGTGCGCCACAACTACTGAGGCTGTGTGTCACAACTACTGAAGCCCGTGTGCCTAGAGCCCATGCTCCTCAACAAGAGAAGCCACCGTAATGAGAAGCCCGCGCACTGCAACAAAGAGTAGCCCCTGCTCACTGCAACTAAAGAAAAGCCCAGGCGCAGCAACAAAGACCCAATGCAGCCAAAAGTAAATAAATAAATATATTTTTTAAAAAAACAGCTCTCAACTTTTAGGTTGTGAATAATTTTTTAGTCGACAATAGCAAAGATCAGGAGAAAGGGATTAGACAGAAAGGATAACCATGAGTGTTAAAGATTAAAAAAATCATACCAGATATTACGAGCAAACAGAACTCTATTTTATTTTGATAGTACTGCCAGTCATAGAGCATAGACCAGTCTGGTTGCCTAGCTAGGTGGAAACAAAGGGCTGGAGAGTTTTTAAGAGCTGTAGTGGCAGGCTTCTTAGACCATCTCTGTTTGCTAATTGTCCTTACCCAAAGGAAAAGTAAACTTTCTGGTATCTTCTTGACAGGAGGTAGTTTTGCAACTTGGAACTAGCTCTCCTCCCCCCACCCCTAAGTTAGGCTCCTACCCTTCCACAGAAACTGGGGAAACTTATCCATTCTTTTTTAGATTCTTTTGCCAATAGGCCATTACAGAGTATTGACTAGAGTTCCCTGTGCTCTACAGTAGGTCCTTATTAGTTATCTATTCTACATATAGTAGTGTGTATATGTCAATCCCAATCTCCCAATTTATCCCTCCCCATCCTTTCTCCTCCACTGGTAAGCATAAGTTTGTTTTCTACATCTGTGACTCTATTTCTGTTCTGTAAATAAGTTCATTTGTATCATTTTTTTAGATTCTACATATAAGCAATATCATACAATATTTATCTTTCTCTGTCTGACTTACTTCACTCAGTGTGACAATCTCTAGGTCCATCCATGTTGCTGCAAATGGCATTATTTCATTCTTTTTTATGACTGAGCAATATTCCATTTGTGTGTGTGTGTGTGTGTGTGTGTGTGTATACACACACACAATGGAATATGTATATATATACCACATCTTCTTTATCCATCCCTCTGTTGATGGACATTTAGGTTGCTTCCATGTCCTGGCTATTGTAAATAGTGCTGCAGTGAACACGGGTGCATGTGTCTTTTCGAATTATGGTTTTCTACAGATATATGCCCAGGAGTGGGACTGCCGGATCATATGGTAGTTCTATTTTTAGTTTTTTAAGGAACTTCCATACTGTTCTTCATAGTGGCTTTACCAATTTACATTCCCACCAACAGTGTAGGAGGGTTCCCTTTTCTCCACACCCTCTCCCGCATTTGTTATTTGTAGACTTTTTGATGATGGCCATTCTGACTGGTGTGAGGTGATACCTCATTGTGGTTTTGATTTGCATTTCTCTAATAATTAGCAGTGATGAGCATCTTTTCATGTGCCTGTTGGCCATCTGTATGTCTTCTTTGGAGAAATGTCTGTTTAGGTCTTCTGCCCATGTTTGGATCGGGTTGTTTGTTTTTTGACATTGAGCTGCGTGAGTTGTTGGTATATTTTGGAGATTAATCCCTAACACCCTTTCAATGCTGATTTCTCTCTGCCACAACTACTCCCACCTCACCCCCATTGCCCTCACTGCCATCCTGGGTCACCTAGGAAACCCTGTGAAAGGAGAGGAGCCAATCTGGGATGTAGGACACCCACAAGAAGCAGGCTGCTCATACTTGCAGCCCCACAAGGCAAAGTGACAGGTGTCCATATACAAATTGCAGTTTCTAAGTGAATCCTAAGTATAGGCTGGGGAAAGACAGGGTCATTACAGGGAGCTGGTTCAAAGGAAAGTAATGTGGGTGGAAAAGGCTATAGGAGATGGCTTTTCCAGACAACATGAAGGCCTCTGGAGGCTGCTGGGTGGAAGAGTGGGGAGAGGGACCATTGGAATGGGGATAGAGGGACCAGAGGTCCTTAGCTGGTTTGGAGAGGGTATAAGCTTTCAGAGTTGCCAAAATCTGAGGATTGGGTGGGTATTTCAAGTTATCCCTTCCCAGGTATCTGGCTCTACTTAGATTCACAGCTCCAGAGTGCAACAAGGATATAAACCCTACTTGGGGCCCCAAATATGAAAGCCTACACCCTCATCATTCACTAGCCAGCTGTATGATTTAGGCATGGTGTTTAACCTCCCTAAGTTCTCAACTGTAAAGTAAAGTTACTGAGGACTGTCCTGTCTAGTATACTGGATTGGAATAAGCAAAGTAATGGTATAAAAGTGCTTTTAGCACAGCAATGTTTATTCTAGGAAGGATTCTAATGAGACAGAAAGCCCTGACTCACAGCATCAGAATGTCAGTAAAGTGAGGGGTAGGTTTAGAATCTAGACACTCACTAACTGTGTTACTTTATTCATGGCTACTGCAATATGGAGAGGGGCCAGAACTAAGCCTGAACTCAACTCTGCTGAAGCAGGAGTGATAGTTTTTAAGGGTGAGAGTGAGCTAATAGAAAAGCACCAAGGACCTTAGGAGGTGGCCATAGGCCATCTGTATTTGCTAACTGGCTTTATCCAAAGGAAAAATCTCTCTCATATCTTTGTGACAGGAGATAGTTTTTCAACTTAGGGCTAGGCACCTATGATGTTAGGCGCCTACCCTCCCACAGAAACTGGGATATAAAGGTGCTAATTCTCTTTCGAAGATTACATTCCAAAGAGATGGCTCCCAGGTCCCTGTAAAAGATAGTCCTGAGTTGTAGAACTGGGAAGAGACTTGGAGATTTCTGTTTCAAAGGGGTAGAGGAATAATTTACAATGGCAAGGGGTTTTTTTTTCTTTTCTTTTTTTTTTTTTTTATTTTTTTGCTGTGGTGGGATTTTATTTTCTTATTATGTTTTCTTTACTTTTTATTTATTTATTTTTTAAACATCTTTATTGGAGTATAATTGCTTTACAATGGTGTGTTAGTTTCTGCTTTATAACAAAGTGAATCAGTTTTACATATACCTATGTCCCCATATCTCTTCCCTCTTGTGTCTCCCTCCCTCCCACCTTTTTTACTTTTTAAAATTGAAGTATAGTTGATTTACAATGTTGTGTTAGTTTCAGGTGTACAGCATAATGGTTCAGTTTTATATATATATATATATATATATATATATATACATTCTTTTTATATATTTCAGATTCTTTTCCATTATAGGTTATTATAAAATATAGAATGTAGTTCCCTGTACTATACAGTAGGTCTTTGTTGGTTATCTATTTTATGTATAGTAGTGTGTATAGGTTAATCCCAAACTCCTAATTTATCCCTCACCCCCTTTCCCCTTTTGTAACCGTAAGTTTGTTTTCCACATCTGTGAGTCTGTTTTATAAATAAGTTCATTTGTATCATTTTTTAGATTCCACATATAAGTGATATCATATGATATTTGTCTTTCTCTGTCTAATTACTTCACTTAGTATGATTGTCTCTAGATCCATCCATGTTGCTGCAAGTGGCATTATTTCATTCCTTTTTATGGCTATTATTCCACTGTGTATATATATACACACACACACACACACACACACACACACACACACCCCACATCTTCTTTATCCATTCATCTGTCCATGGACATTTAGGTTACTTTCATGTCTTGGCTATCGTAAATATAGTGCTGATATGAACATTGGGGAGCATGTTTCTTTTTGAATTAGAGTTTTCATCTTTTCCGGATATATGCCCAGGAGTGGGATTGCTGGATCATACGGCAACTTATTTTTAGTTTTTTAAGGAGCCTCCATACTGTTTTCCACAGTGGCTGCACCAATTTCATTCCCACC